AATAGAGACCCACTAGTTAGCAGGACATGTATGTATGCTATGTAAGCAGCACTATTCCCCCTAAATGAATGTAAGCAGCACTATTCCCCCTAAATGAATGTAAGCAGCACTACCCCCTAGACGAATGTGTAAGCAGCACTACCCCCCCCCCCCCCCAATGATTACCTGTTTCCTGAAACAGCTGTCTGGCTGATTAAAGCAAGCCCTGCACTAGTCTGTCACACACTCGACCAACTCGCTCTTTAGATGTGTGCCAAACTTCAGTCTGTCACACACTCGACCAACTCGCTCTTTAGATGTGTGCCAAACTTCAGTCTGTCACACACTCGACCAACTCGCTCTTTAGATGTGTGCCAAACTTCAGTCTGTCACACACTCGACCAACTCGCTCTTTAGATGTGTGCCAAACTTCAGTCTGTCACACACTCGACCAACTCGCTCTTTAGATGTGTGCCAAACTTCAGTCTGTCACACACTCGACCGACTCGCTCTTTAGATGTGTGCCAAACTTCAGTCTGTCACACACTCGACCAACTCGCTCATTAGATGTGTGCCAAACTTCAGTCTGTCACACACTCGACCAACTCGCTCTTTAGATGTGTGCCAAACTTCAGTCTGTCACACACTCGACCAACTCGCTCTTTAGATGTGTGCCAAACTTCAGTCTGTCACACACTCAACCAACTCGCTCTTTAGATGTGTGCCAAACTTCAGTCTGTCACACACTCGACCAACTCGCTCTTTAGATGTGTGTCAAACTTGGACTGTCACGTGGGCCGTTTGTTTAAATACTTATTATTATAGCGGCCCACGCTTTTAATTATAGTGATAGAAATAGTAGTGCATTAATATATTTAAAGAAAGTATTATTTTTTTTATAAATAAAGTAACTGCAGATTTATTATATTCTTAAAAATTATTTTATATTTAATAAAATTGTATTATTTTCTTCTTTTTAGTGCATTTATAAAAGCTTGTAATTATAAACGTTTTTATGTATATATTATTTTTATACTTTTTAGTTTTAACGAGTTATACGCATGTCAAGACAATATAGTGTAGCAACAAATATATGATACACAATTTAAAAAAACAGTTTTGCTTTAATAATATAATTAGTTTTACTATATGTGTCACAGTATTATAGGATGGCGTAGTCTAGTGGTAAAGAACTGCTGACCCGACTAAAAACCATCGCGCGCCTACTGAACGCGATGACGCGCTTTTGACGTAGAGCCCCCCCCCCCCCCCCCCCCCCCGCCCCTCGCTCCACGCCCAACACGGCCGCCATGACGCGTTTTGATAGAACTGCCTACTATTCGGTCCAAATTTTAATTAATTCATAACAAATTCATTAGGCATCCAATTAAGTAAAATTTAATGTCATAATGCATTGTCTTCATGTCTTGACCCACGTACCAATTACGAACCGTATCTGTCAGTTAGAAGTGTTCGAATTTTCGCTCCGGCGTTTCGATCTAGACAGACAGACAGAGAGACATAGGAAGTGAGTGTAATAACACTTTCAATGTAATTTTTTAACTCATAAATTTAGACCATGAGCACTTTAGACATCTAACACTTGAATCCATAGAAGTATCGTTTTTTTTCTTATATTCATTTGTAATCGACGACAAACAAACATTTTACAAACATACAGAATTGAACTTTATATATATAAACTTTATATATATAAAGCTCAATTCTGTATGTAAAAATAATGATTACTAAACACACAGGTAATGGTCTTTAACAGAAAGGTTTTAAACAGAAGCCAGAGCAGGGCCTGGCCGGGACGGCTAGTCTAATATATAAAGCTCAATTCTGTATGTAAAAATAAGTTTGTTTGTCTTTGACATACTTCGATGGATTTAAGTGTTAGACTATTATCGTGCTCATAGTCTAAATTTATGAGTTAAAAAAATTACTATTGAAAGTGTTGGGAAATAATTTTCATTTTTCAAACTGATAGTAATAATTGTCGGCATGTTCATTAAACATAATTTTAAAAAAATAACAAAAATTCTAATTATGTCTGAAATTTTTTTATATTATAATTGTTCGTTTGGTTTGGCACCTACGTTCATTTAAGTGAGTGCAAAAGACTATGAATAAGTTGGGGTACTGTAGTCGATTATTAAGCTGAAATCGCCTGTTTCAGCTTAATAAACGACTATAGTACCCCAACTTATTCATAGTCTTTTGCACTCACTTAAACGAACGTAGTTGCCAAACCAAACCAAATGAACAATTATAATACTCCAAGCTTATCCGTAAAATACCTACAACATTTGCACTTGATCAATCCCCGCTAATTATGTAATTATTTTTTTCCCAACACCAAAACAAAGTAATAAAAAGTAAATTCTTTTCCACTAATGCAAAGTTTTTTATAAAGGGAAGTAATAGTGTTTTCCTAATTTATCAAAGGGAAGTAAATATAAGTAATTTTCAGACATAATTAGAATTTTTGTAAAAGATGATACTTTTTAAAAATTGTGTTTAATGAACATGCCGACAATTATTACTGTCAGTTAAAAAAATGAAAATTATTTCCCAACACTTTCAGTATTAATTTTTTAACTCATAAATTTAGACTGTGAGCACGATAAAAATCTGATACTTAAATCCAACGAAGTATGTCCACGACAAACAAACTTATTTTTACATACAGAATTGAGCTTTATATACAGAGGCGTAGCGACCCTTCCCGGCGCCCGGGGACATACTTTCAATTTGGCGCCCCCCTCGGGAGCAAATTTTCGATTTACACCCCCCCCCCCTCGAACTTTTCATTTGCACCCCCCTCAAACTTTCGATTGCACCCCCCCTCGAACTTTTCATTTGCACCCCCCCCCCTCGAACTTTCAATTTGGCGCCCCCCCCTAAGGTCGGCGCCCGGGGACATATGTCCCCCCCCCCCCTCGCTACGCCTCTGTTTATATATTAGACTAGCCGTCCCGGCCAGGCCCTGCTCTGGCTTCTGTTTAAAACCTTTCTGTTAAAGACCATTACCTGTGTGTTTAGTAATCATCATAAATCCGGCATTTCCCATCCAAACCACAACAAACCAAAACCAAAACAACAAAACGCAAACATAACGCTAACACAATTACAAATACAAACGAAAACAAAAACCTAACAACAAACCCAACCACAACCACAAACACCAATACCAAAAAAAAGAAAAAAACAAATAAAAAAGCAAACGAAAACAAAAACCTAACAACAAACCCAGCCACAACCACAAACACCAATACCAACAGAAAGAAAAAAACAGAGGCGTAGCGACCCTTCCCGGCGCCCGGGGACATACTTTCAATTTGGCGCCCCCCTCGGGAGCAAATTTTCGATTTACACCCCCCCCCCCCTCGAACTTTTCATTTGCACCCCCCTCAAACTTTCGATTGCACCCCCCCCCCCCTCGAACTTTTCATTTGCACCCCCCCTCGAACTTTCAATTTGGCGCCCCCCCCTAAGGTCGGCGCCCGGGGACATATGTCCCCCCCCCCTCGCTACGCCTCTGTTTATATATTAGACTAGCCGTCCCGGCCAGGCCCTGCTCTGGCTTCTGTTTAAAACCTTTCTGTTAAAGACCATTACCTGTGTGTTTAGTAATCATCATAAATCCGGCATTTCCCATCCAAACCACAACAAACCAAAACAACAAAACGCAAACATAACGCTAACACAATTACAAATACAAACGAAAACAAAAACCTAACAACAAACCCAACCACAACCACAAACACCAATACCAACACAAAGAAAAAAACAAATAAAAAAGCAAACGAAAACAAAAACCTAACAACAAACCCAGCCACAACCACAAACACCAATACCAACAGAAAGAAAAAAACAAACGAAAAAGCAAACGAAAACAAACCAAATCCAAACGCAAAACCAACCACAAACACAAACCCAAAGAAAAAAACACAAACAAAAACGAAAAAAGAAAGAACAAAAACGAAACAAATCAAAACGCAACCACTAACGCAAACCCAACCTAAACACAAAGAAAACACTAACGCAAACATAAACGCAAAGTGCTCACAGTCTAGCCCGTGGCGGAATCGCCTGTTTCAGCTTAATAAACGACTATAGTACCCCAACTTATTCATAGTCTTTTGCATTCACTTAAACGAACGCGCCCGTTTCAATTTAATGAACAATTATAATACTCCAAGCTTATCCGTAAAATACCTACAACATTTGCACTTGATCAATCCCCGCTAATTATGTAATTATTATTTTTTTCCCAACACCAAAACAAAGTAATAAAAAGTAAATTCTTTTCCACTAATGCAAAGTTTTTTAGAAAGGGAAGTAATAGTGTTTTCCTAATTTATCAAAGGGAAGTAAGTGCTAAAGGACTAAATAAAGACATAAATAGAATTTTTGTAAAAGATGATATTTTTTAAAACTTGTGTTTAATGAACATGCCGACAATTATCATTTTCAGTTTGAAAAATGAAAATTATTTCCCAACACTTTCAATATTAATTTTTTAACTCATAAATTTAGACCATAAGGACTTTAATCACCTAACACTTAAATCCATCGAAGTATCCGCGACAAACATTTTACACTTTACATATTACAAGTTACATACAGAATTGAGCTTTATATATTAGATATATACACACACATATATATATATATCGCACCTTTCCAAGAGCTGTTGCTCCCATAACCCCAAAAACCAGCGTACGCCCCTCGGATAAGAGCCCACCACCCTAGTTTTTAATGTCCACTGCCCCCACCCGCCTATCCGTTACGTCACTGTCCGAGCCATAATGATGTTGCAGGTATACGTCTGTATTGTTTACCTATGTTAACATTGCATGTGTATGCGCCACTATTTCTATAGGCTACTGGTGTTCACATGCACTGATTGATTCTATCCACAGACTGTATCAGCAGCGGCCCCTCCCTCTTCTGTGCGCCACTATTTCTATAGGCTACTGGTTTTAACATGCACTGATTGATTCTATCCACAGACTGTATCAGCAGCGGCCCCTCTTCTGTCTGGTCCCCCCTTGTAGGGGGAGGGTCGAGTACGCTTGACCCCAGTGCTCTCAAACTCATCCACTGCATCTACTGTGCAGATTGCCGCATGGAGAAGCTGGCCTCGACTGGCAGCGCCTTCCACCAGCAGACGGCCGCTATGACCGAGAGCTCGGGGGCCAGCACATCCACCTCATCACAGACACCCCTGGTGGGCGTGCCCCTGGCTCCACCCAGAACACCGCCCGACCAAGCTTCACTGCAAAGTAGTATGGACAAAAACAAAGAAAGTAAGTCTCCAACTTTGTGTATATGGAAAATAAACCGGTAGTGATCTCCCCTAAACTTTCTCGAATATTCTTATATAAAACAACAGGGGATGGTAACTGGGGATATAGCTATGATTTTTAATCCATTTTAAATACTTAAACTTTTAAAAATAGAATAGAATCTCATAAAAAAAAACATTGCGCACCAAGCAAACGCCGAATAAAAACGCGTATAATAGTGCGCAATATTATTAGTACTTTAAAAATTTACATTAGTTTTTTGAGAAATCGGAAGTAGCGTAAATTACTACTTCCAGTCAACGGAAATTACTCAAAATTTAACAGAAGGTAGAGAATTAGATCTTTTACTTACATGTGAAATTTCATTTATCTATCTGAAATAGTACTCAAGTTATAGGCTTTTGAAAAATTCAAAGTAGGAAAAGTACCACTTCCGGTTGTCGGAAATCGCTCAAAAGTTGATTACGGATCTACGATTTTGATATAATACTTATATATGAAATTTCATCAACCTAGCTGTAACGGTACTCAAGTTATCGTGTTTACACACGGACAGACACACACACAGACACACACACACACAGACATACGGACAAGATTGCAAAATTATGTTTTTCCGTATCAGTGAGGTGTAAAACGTCGAGAACTGTAAAAATCTCGATTTTTTTTTTTGCACGATTACAATACTTTCTCTATACTTCGTATATACGAGAAAGTAAAAAAAGTCATGCTCAAGTTATCATGACATGTTTAAATGACATGGCTAAAGACAGTTCTGATGACATTTAAGAATGACATGACTAAAGCCAGCGATAAGGTTGAAACCCGTAGATCAAAATGCTGGAAATATTTTAGTAAGCTTCCTGTGTGTTTTCTCCTATCGGCACGACCTTCCCCACTTTTCTACATCCATCTTTCCTTGGTTGACATACCTAGAACTTGACAGTATTGCACTGTATACCTTAGTTACTGAAGAGTCATGTCTCCATGGAGTCTAGCATTGAGCTGATTCCCCCGTGATTGTATCCATCATGGCCCAGATATTGTAGTCATCATGGCCCAATTATTGTAGCCATCATGGCCCAGATATTGTAGCCATCATGGCCCAGATATTGTAGCCATCATGGCCCAGATATTGTAGCCATCATGGCCCAGATATTGTAGCCATCATGGCCCAGATATTGTAGCCATCATGGCCCAGATATTGTAGTCATCATGGCCCAGATATTGTAGCCATCATGGCCCAGATATTGTAGCCATCATGGCCCAGATATTGTAGCCATCATGGCCCAGATATTGTAGCCATCATGGCCCAGATATTGTAGCCACCATGGCCCAGATATTGTAGCCATCATGGCACAGATATTGTAGCCATCATGGCCCAGATATTGTAGCCATCATGGCCCAGATATTGTAGCCATCATGGCCCAGATATTGTAGCCATCATGGCCCAGATATTGTAGCCATCATGGCCCAGATATTGTAGCCATCATGGCCCAGATATTGTAACCATCATGGCCCAGATATTGTAGCCATCATGGCCCAGATATTGTAACTATCACAGCTCAGATATTGTAGTTACCATGGCCCACTTGTTGGAGCTATTATGGCTGTAATACCACTTCCCACACAATCCCCAACAAATCTTAGCCACTCACCCCACATTCCTACCGAAAGCATTATTGTATAATCCTATATAAACGAACATTATATACGTATTTGTGTTACTCCAACTGAAAACAGCAGACCGAAATATTTGCCACTATTTTCTAAAGAACAGGTGGTTTGCTAGATGTGCTGTATACATTTTTGTACGATCTGTGTTATCATCATGGGGGGGGGGGGGGGATTTTATTCCTGCTCAAAAGAATGCATGATTAGAATTATAAATTAGAACATCTTACATCTGTAGTATTTGCATCTGGCGGACAGATACTTGTAACGTTTACAACAGGACAGATACTTGTAACGTTTACAACATGACAGATACTTGTAACGTTTACAACAGGACAGATACTTGTAACGTTTACAACATGACAGATACTTGTAACGTTTACAACAGGACAGATATTTGTAACGTTTACAACAGGACAGATACTTGTAACGTTTACAACAGGACAGATACTTGTAACGTTTACAACAGGACAGATACTTGTAACGTTTACAACAGGACAGATACTTGTAACGTTTACATGAGGACAGATACTCGTAATGTTTACAACAGGACAGATACTTGTAACGTTTACAACAGGACAGATACTTGTAACGTTTACAACAGGACAGATACTTGTAACGTTTACAACAGGACAGATACTTGTAACGTTTACAACAGGACAGATACTTGTAACGTTTACCAAATCACATGTTTTATGAACGTGAGGTAGCTGAACTAGCCAGTCATCGCTCAAGTAACGGCGTGAAAAGTGCTTGTTTTTCTGCCGCTCGTACATTTCTTGAAAGCATCTTTTGGCCTAGTTCCAGAGGCGTTTATTGGTTTTTAATCTGTGAGAAAACTAGTTGTACCTGCATGAAATATCTGACTGTACTTCTTGTGGCATGTTTGTCTATCCGTGAGAAATATCTGACTGTACTTCTTGTTTTTCAATTGTTGAAACGTCGTTTTTCTATTATGTTTAGTCGCGTGTGTGGGTAGATACGAGTGTGTGTGTGTGTGTGTGTGGAGGGGGGGAGGGGAAGGTACGTATGTGTTAGTGTGTGGGTACATTTGTGAGTGTGTAGGTAAGGATCTCACCTCCATACCACCACAATACGTTAGGTTAAGGATCTCACCTCCATACCACCAAAATACGTTAGGTTAAGGATCTCACCTCCATACCACCAAAATACGTTAGGTTTAGGATCTCACCTCCATACCACCACAATACGTTAGGTTTAGGATCTCTGCTCCATACCACCAAAATACGTTAGGTTAAGGATCTCACCTCCATACCACCAAAATACGTTAGGTTTAGGATCTCACCTCCATACCAACAAAATACGTTAGGTTTAGGATCTCACCTCCATACCACCAAAATACGTAGAGTTAAGGATCTCACCTCCATACCACCAAAATACGTTAGGTTTAGGATCTCACCTCCATACCACCAAAATACGTTAGGTTTAGGATCTCACCTCCATACCACCAAAATACGTTAGGTTTAGGATCTCACCTCCATACCACCAAAATACGTTAGGTTAAGGATCTCACCTCCATACCACCTAAATACGTTAGGTTAAGGATCTCACCTCCATACCACCAAAATACGTAGAGTTAAGGATCTCACCTCCATACCACCAAAATACGTTAGGTTTAGGATCTCACCTCCATACCACCAAAATACGTTAGGTTTAGGATCTCACCTCCATACCACCACAATACGTTAGGTTTAGGATCTCACCTCCATACCACCAAAATACGTTAGGTTAAGGATCTCACCTCCATACCACCAAAATACGTTAGGTTTAGGATCTCACCTCCATACCACCAAAATACGTTAGGTTTAGGATCTCACCTCCATACCACCACAATACGTTAGGTTTAGGATCTCACCTCCATACCACCAAAATACGCTAGGTTTAGGATCTCACCTCCATACCACCAAAATACGTTAGGTTAAGGATCTCACCTCCATACCACCACAATACGTTAGGTTTAGGATCTCACCTCCATACCACCAAAATACGTTAGGTTTAGGATCTCACCTCCATACCACCAAAATACGTTAGGTTAAGGATCTCACCTCCATACCACCAAAATACGTAGAGTTAAGGATCTCACCTCCATACCACCAAAATACGTTAGGTTTAGGATCTCACCTCCATACCACCACAATACGTTAGGTTTAGGATCTCACCTCCATACCACCAAAATACGTTAGGTTTAGGATCTCACCTCCATACCACCAAAATACGTTAGGTTTAGGATCTCACCTCCATACCACCACAATACGTTAGGTTTAGGATCTCACCTCCATACCACCAAAATACGTTAGGTTTAGGATCTCACCTCCATACCACCACAATACGTTAGGTTTAGGATCTCACCTCAATACCAGCAAAATACGTAGAGTTAAGGATCTCACCTCCATACCACCAAAATACGTTAGGTTAAGTATCTCACCTCAATACCACCAAAATACGTTAGGTTTAGGATCTCACCTCCATACCACCAAAATACGTTAGGTTTAGGATCTCACCTCCATACCACCAAAATACGTTAGGTTTAGGATCTCACCTCCATACCACCAAAATACGTTAGGTTAAGGATCTCACCTCCATACCACCAAAATACGTTAGGTTTAGGATCTCACCTCCATACCACCAAAATACGTAGAGTTAAGGATCTCACCTCCATACCAACAAAATACGTTAGGTTTAGGATCTCACCTCCATACCACCACAATACGTTAGGTTTAGGATCTCACCTCCATACCACCAAAATACGTAGAGTTAAGGATCTCACCTCCATACCACCAAAATACGTTAGGTTTAGGATCTCACCTCCATACCACCAAAATACGTTAGGTTAAGGATCTCACCTCCATACCACCAAAATACGTTAGGTTAAGGATCTCACCTCCATACCAACAAAATACGTTAGGTTTAGGATCTCACCTCCATACCACCAAAATACGTTAGGTTAAGGATCTCACCTCCATACCACCAAAATACGTTAGGTTTAGGATCTCACCTCCATACCACCAAAATACGTTAGGTTAAGGATCTCACCTCCATACCACCAAAATACGTTAGGTTAAGGATCTCACCTCCATACCACCAAAATACGTTAGGTTTAGGATCTCACCTCCATACCACCAAAATACGTTAGGTTTAGGATCTCACCTTACCAAAATACGTTAGGTTTAGGATCTCACCTCCATACCACCAAAATACGTTAGGTTTAGGATCTCACCTCCATACCACCAAAATACGTTAGGTTTAGGATCTCACCTCCATACCACCAAAATACGTTAGGTTTAGGATCTCACCTCCATACCACCAAAATACGTTAGGTTTAGGATCTCACCTCCATACCAACAAAATACGTTAGGTTAAGGATCTCACCTCCATACCAACAAAATACGTTAGGTTAAGGATCTCACCTCCATACCACCAAAATACGTTAGGTTAAGGATCTCACCTCCATACCAACAAAATACGTTAGGTTAAGGATCTCACCTCCATACCACCAAAATACGTTAGGTTAAGGATCTCACCTCCATACCACCAAAATACGTTAGGTTAAGGATCTCACCTCCATACCACCAAAATACGTTAGGTTAAGGATCTCACCTCCATACCAACAAAATACGTTAGGTTAAGGATCTCACCTCCATACCACCAAAATACGTTAGGTTTAGGATCTCACCTCCATACCACCAAAATACGTTAGGTTAAGGATCTCACCTCCATACCAACAAAATACGTTAGGTTTAGGATCTCACCTCCATACCACCAAAATACGTTAGGTTAAGGATCTCACCTCCATACCAACAAAATACGTTAGGTTAAGGATCTCACCTCCATACCACCAAAATACGTTAGGTTTAGGATCTCACCTCCATACCAACAAAATACGTTAGGTTAAGGATCTCACCTCCATACCAACAAAATACGTTAGGTTAAGGATCTCACCTCCATACCACCAAAATACGTTAGGTTTAGGATCTCACCTCCATACCACCAAAATACGTTAGGTTAAGGATCTCACCTCCATACCAACAAAATACGTTAGGTTAAGGATCTCACCTCCATACCACCACAATACGTTAGGTTAAGGATCTCACCTCCATACCAACAAAATACGTTAGGTTAAGGATCTCACCTCCATACCACCAAAATACGTTAGGTTAAGGATCTCACCTCCATACCAACAAAATACGTTAGGTTAAGGATCTCACCTCCATACCACCACAATACGTTAGGTTTAGGATCTCACCTCCATACCACCAAAATACGTTAGGTTTAGGATCTCACCTCCATACCAACAAAATACGTTAGGTTTAGGATCTCACCTCCATACCACCAAAATACGTTAGGTTAAGGATCTCACCTCCATACCACCAAAATACGTTAGGTTTAGGATCTCACCTCCATACCACCAAAATACGTTAGGTTTAGGATCTCACCTCCATACCAACAAAATACGTTAGGTTAAGGATCTCACCTCCATACCACCAAAATACGTTAGGTTTAGGATCTCACCTCCATACCACCGTTGCTCTGACTTCTCCCCGCCCTACCCCCGGCTTCTCCCCGCCCTACCCCCGGCTTCTCCCCGCCCTACCCCCGGCTTCTCCCCGCCCTACCCCCGGCTTCTCCCCGCCCTACCCCCACGACTTACCTCTGCGCGTGTCCTTTCTCTCAAGCATGCCACACACCTGGCCCTGATGACGCAACCGTTCTCCGGCCCACATACAGCATACTCTGGTGCCTGCGTCACTGCTAGCCTGACGTCACTGTTGATGTCACGGTGTTTATAGTCACTGTTGATGTTACGGTGTTTATAGTCACTGTTGATATCAAGGTGTTTATAGTCACTGTTGATATCACGGTGTTTATAGTCACTGTTGATATCACGGTGTTTATAGTCACTATTGATGTCACGGTGTTTATAGTCACTGTTGATATTACGGTGTTTATAGTCACTGTTGATGTCACGGTGTTTATAGTCACTATTGATATCACGGTGTTTATAGTCACTGTTGATGTCACGGTGTTTATAGTCACTGTTGATGTCACGGTGTTTATAGTCACTGTTGATATCACGGTGTTTATAGTCACTGTTGATGTCACGGTGTTTATAGTCACTGTTGATGTCACGGTGTTTATAGTCACTATTGATATCACGGTGTTTATAGTCACTGTTGATGTCACGGTGTTTATAGTCACTGTTGATGTCACGGTGTTTATAGTCACTGTTGATATCAAGGTGTTTATAGTCACTGTTGATGTCACGGTGTTTATAGTCACTGTTGATATCACGGTGTTTATAGTCACTGTTGATGTCACGGTGTTTATAGTCACTGTTGATGTCACGGTGTTTATAGTCACTGTTGATATCCTTGCGTCCCATTAGAGAAGAAATCAAGTTTTGCTAGCTAGTTGTTTCCCTATTTCCGTTCTGAGTTGTCTGACCCTGCCACAATGTAAGACGTATTGAGAAGCCAGTGGTTATTACCCTATATTTGACCTGTGTTTATGGGCCTACATTTGGCCTGTGTTTATGGGCCTACATTTGGCCTGTGTTTATGGGCCTACATTTGACCTGTGTTTATAGGCCTACATTTGGCCTGTGTTTATGGGCCTACATTTGACCTGTGTTTATGGGCCTACATTTGACCTGTGTTTATTGGCCTAAATATGGCCTGTGTTTATGGGCCTACATTTGGCCTGTGTTTATGGGCCTACATTTGGCCTGTGTTTATGGGCCTACATTTGGCCTGTGTTTTTATGGACTAAAAATGTTTTTTTTTTTTTGTGGTCCATCTTTACATTATATTTAATCCTTTCAGCTTTAAAGAGGAAGTTAATGCTGAGGAGGTCTGTCAATGAACTCGTGGATCGTGGAATCTACCCGCGTAAGTCGCACTCTTGATGTTCCCCATGTTCTGTGTACTTGATGTTCCCCATGTTCTGTGTACTTGATATTTTGATGTTATCCATGTTCTATGTACTTGATGTTTTGATGTTCCCCATGTTATGTGTACTTGATGTTCCCCATGTTCTGTGTACTTGATATTCCCCATGTTCTGTGTACTTGATGTTCCCCATGTTCTGTGTACTTGATGTTCCCCATGTTCTGTGTACTTGATATTCCCCGTGTTCTGTGTACTTGATGTTCCCCATGTTCTGTGTACTTGTTTTGATGTTCCCCATGTTGTATGTACTTGATGTTCCCCAGGTTCTGTGTACTTAATGTTCCCCGTGTTCTTTGTACTTGATGTTCCCCATGTTCTATGTACTTGATGTTTTGATGTTATCCATGTTCTATGTACTTGATGTTTTGATGTTCCCCATGTTCTGTGTACTTGATGTTCCCCATGTTCTGTGTACTTGATGTTCCCCATGTTCTGTGTACTTGATGTTTTGATGTTATCCATGTTCTATGTACTTGATGTTTTGATGTTCCCCATGTTCTGTGTACTTGATGTTCCCCATGTTCTGTGTACTTGATGTTCCCCATGTTCTGTGTACTTGATGTTCCCCATGTTCTGTGTACTTGATGTTTTGATGTTATCCATGTTCTATGTACTTGATGTTTTGATGTTCCACATGTTCTGTGTACTTGATGTTCCCCATGTTCTGTGTACTTGATGTTCCCCATGTTCTGTGTACTTGATGTTCCCCATGTACTGTGTACTTGATGTTCCCCATGTTCTTAGTACTTGATGTTCCCCATGTTCTGTGTACTTGATGTTTTGATGTTATCCATGTTCTATGTACTTGATGTTTTGATGTTCCCCATGTTCTGTGTACTTGATGTTTTGATGTTATCCATGTTCTATGTACTTGATGTTTTGATGTTCCCCATGTTCTGTGTACTTGATGTTCCCCATGTACTGTGTACTTGATGTTCCCCATGTTCTGTGTACTTGATGTTCCCCATGTTCTGTGTACTTGATGTTCCCCATGTTCTGTGTACTTGATGTTCCCCAGGTTCTGTGTACTTAATGTTCCCCATGTTCTTTGTACTTGATGTTCCCCATGTGTGTACTTGATGTTTTGATGTTATCCATGTTCTATGTATTTGATGTTCCCCATGTTCTGTGTACTTGATGTTTTGATGTTATCCATGTTCTGTGTATTTGATGTTCCCCATGTTCTGTGTACTTGATGTTTTGATGTTATCCATGTTCTATGTACTTGATGTTTTGATGTTCCCCATGTTCTGTGTACTTGATGTTCCCCATGTACTGTGTACTTGATGTTCCCCATGTTTAGTGTACTTGATGTTCCCCATGTTCTGTGTACTTGATGTTCCCCTTGTTCTGTGTACTTGATGTTCCCCAGGTTCTGTGTACTTGATGTTCCCCAGGTTCTGTGTACTTAATGTTCCCCATGTTCTTTGTACTTGATGTTCCCCATGTTCTGTGTACTTGATGTTTTGATGTTATCCATGTTCTATGTACTTGATGTTTTGATGTTCCCCATGTTCTGTGTACTTGATGTTTTGATGTTATCCATGTTCTGTGTATTTGATGTTCCCCATGTTCTGTGTACTTGATGTTTTGATGTTATCCATGTTCTATGTACTTGATGTTTTGATGTTCCCCATGTTCTGTGTACTTGATGTTCCCCATGTTCTGTGTACTTGATGTTCCCCATGTTATGTGTACTTGATGTTCCCCATGTTCTGTGTACTTGATGTTCCCCATGTTCTGTGTACTTGATGTTCCCCATGTACTGTGTACTTGATGTTCCCCATGTTCTGTGTACTTGATGTTCCCCATGTACTGTGTACTTGATGTTCCCCATGTACTGTGTACTTGATGTTCCCCATGTTCTGTGTACTTGATGTTCCCCATGTTCTGTGTACTTGATGTTCCCCGTGTACTGTGTACTTGATGTTCCCCATGTACTGTGTACTTGATGTTCCCCATGTTCTGTGTACTTGATGTTCCCCATGTTCTGTGTACTTGATGTTCCCCATTTTCTGTGTACTTGATGTTCCCCATGTTCTGTGTACTTGATGTTCCCCATGTTCTGTGTACTTGATGTTCCCCATGTTCTGTGTACTTGATGTTCCCCATGTACTGTGTACTTGATGTTCCCCATGTACTGTGTACTTGATGTTCCCCATGTTCTGTGTACTTGATGTTCCCCATGTTCTGTGTACTTGATGTTCCCCATGTCCTGTGTACTTGATGTTCCCCATGTTCTGTGTACTTGATGTTCCCCATGTACTGTGTACTTGATGTTCCCCATGTACTGTGTACTTGATGTTCCCCATGTACTGTGTACTTGATGTTCCCCATGTACTGTGTACTTGATGTTCCCCATGTTCTGTGTACTTGATGTTCCCCGTGTACTGTGTACTTGATGTTCCCCATGTACTGTGTACTTGATGTTCCCCATGTTCTGTGTACTTGATGTTCCCCATGTTCTGTGTACTTGATGTTCCCCATGTTCTGTGTACTTGATGTTCCCCATGTACTGTGTACTTGATGTTCCCCATGTACTGTGTACTTGATGTTCCCCATGTTCTGTGTACTTGATGTTCCCCATGTTCTGTGTACTTGATGTTCCCCGTGTACTGTGTACTTGATGTTCCCCATGTACTGTGTACTTGATGTTCCCCATGTTCTGTGTACTTGATGTTCCCCATGTTCTGTGTACTTGATGTTCCCCATTTTCTGTGTACTTGATGTTCCCCATGTTCTGTGTACTTGATGTTCCCCATGTTCTGTGTACTTGATGTTCCCCATGTTCTGTGTACTTGATGTTCCCCATGTTCTGTGTACTTGATGTTCCCCATGTACTGTGTACTTGATGTTCCCCATGTTCTGTGTACTTGATGTTCCCCATGTTCTGTGTACTTGATGTTCCCCATGTCCTGTGTACTTGATGTTCCCCATGTCCTGTGTACTTGATGTTCCCCATGTTCTGTGTACTTGATGTTCCCCATGTCCTGTGTACTTGATGTTCCCCATGTTCTGTGTACTTGATGTTCCCCATGTTCTGTGTACTTGATGTTCCCCATGTACTGTGTACTTGATGTTCCCCATGTTCTGTGTACTTGATGTTCCCCATGTCCTGTGTACTTGATGTTCCCCATGTTCTGTGTACTTGATGTTCCCCATGTTCTGTGTACTTGATGTTCCCCATGTACTGTGTACTTGATGTTCCCCATGTACTGTGTACTTGATGTTCCCCATGTACTGTGTACTTGATGTTCCCCATGTTCTGTGTACTTGATATTCTCATGATTTAGTGTTCTATCCCCCACACCCCCACCACAGCATTAAAGACACCCCCAGCATTTGCTGAAAAGACAAAACAATTGGAACGTGCCAAGGTAAGTCTTGTTCTTAATTGGTTCAATGTTTACATTTTACAAGTCTTACAAACTTGTCACATTGTTTTTAAAGTAAGTCATTTCTTACATACTTGTCACATTGTTTTTAAAGTGAGTCATTTCTTACAAACTTGTCACATTGTTACCAGACAGGTGACCTGTTACGTCACAAGATCCAGCACAGACCAGACAGGCAGGCCCTGGTCCAGCAGCACATACTTGAAGGTAAGAATACTGGCTCTCAGCGGCTCATTGGCTCATGCTGGCCTCAATGGCTCATGCTGGCCTCAGTGGCTCATGCTGGCCTCAGTGGCTCATGCTGGCCTCAGTGGCTCATGCTGGCCTCAGTGGCTCATGCTGGCCTCAGTGGCTCAGTGGCTCATGCTGGCCTCAGTGGCTCATGCTGGCCTCAGTGGCTCATGCTAGCCCTTAGCGGCTCATTGGCTGATACTGGCCTCACTAGCCTCTCTTACAGATACTACAATAGATCCGTGACTACATGATTGTTTCTCTTACAGATACTACAATAGATCCCTGACTACATGATTGTTTCTCTTACATATACTACAATAGATCCCTCGCTACATGATTGTTTCTCTTACAGATACTACAATAGATCCCTCGCTACATGATTGTTTCTGTTACAGATACTACAATAGATCCCTGACTACATGATTGTTTCTCTTACAGATACTACAATAGATCCCTCACTACATGATTGTTTCTGTTACAGATACTACAATAGATCCCTGACTACATGATTGTTTCTCTTACAGATACTACAATAGATCCCTGACTACATGATTGTTTCTCTTACAGATACTACAATAGATCCCTGACTACATGATTGTTTCTCTTACAGATACTACAATAGATCCCTCGCTACATGAGCGCCAGAGGTTGTTAAAACGTTCCCGCTTGCTGGATGGCCTCAATGATAAGTTGGCCCATAGACCCGGGCCGCTAGAGCTAGTACAGGGCAATATACTGCAGCCATCAAATGAACTGGCCAATGCTATCAAAGGTGAGAGTCTCAGTCTAATTAGCTACACGTGGGGTAGCCCATGTTTGATTTAAAAGTTAAAACCTGTTTTCCAGAGGTTTACTAGTATACACATCAATGTAATAGTTTATGACTGCTCTATTTGACCAATGTAATTGTGCCTGCTCTATTTGACCAATGTCATTGTGCCTGCTCTATTTGACCAATGTAATTGTGCCTGCTTTATTTGACCAATGTAATTGCGACTGCTCTATTTGACCAATGTAATTGTGCCTGCTCTATTTGACCAATGTAATTGTGCCTGCTCTATTTGACCAATGTAATTGTGACTGCTCTATTTGACCAATGTAATTGTGACTGCTCTATTTGACCAATGTAATTGTGCCTGCTCTATTTGACCAATGTAATTGTGACTGCTCTATTTGACCAATGTCATTGTGCCTGCTCTATTTGACCAATGTAATTGTGACTGCTCTATTTGACCAATGTAATTGTGACTGCTCTATTTGACCAATGTAATTGTGCCTGCTCTATTTGACCAATGTCATTGTGCCTGCTCTATTGAGCCTGTGATGACTTTCAGATGGCACCCTCCAGTTTGTGCCCACCTGTGACACTGAAGACATGGACCAGTCCAGTTCCTCCTTTCTCTTTGATGATGAAAGTCCTGGGAGTGAGGGAGCTCCGTCCCCTCCCATGGATGAATCAGGTCTGTCTGATGTCAGTAGCCCCAGCTCTGCTCCGCCCATCTTCACCGATTCCTTCCCCCTCTCCTTTACGTTTGCTAAAAGCATATCCATTCCTGTGACCATCAACAAGGTCCACCAAAGTCCAGTGCCCATCGCTAGTAATGCCCAACCCAAGCTGTCCACGGCAAACACCATCACCAACCTACACAACCACAGCAGCGGCAAGTCCCGGTCCAAGAAACCCAAATCAAAGAGCACGTCTAAAGCCAGGATCATCAAGTTCCATGAGTACAAGGGTCCTCCATCCGTGCTCAAAAGCCAGGCTTCCAGCACTGCATCCAGCGCCACATGCAGCAGTGCAGCAGAAGACACCCCATACCACATCATGCTCCAGCAGCAGCAGCTCTTCCTCCAGTGGCAACTTGAGTTCCAGCACAAGCAGCAGGGCATGGCCTTAAGCCCTGGCGCCTCTAGCATTGGAGAAAACTCTAATTCCTCCACATCATCAGCGCTGGTCACCTCCCCCACTGCAGCCCTCAATGCCCCAACCTTTGCCTCTGTTTCCAGCACTATGGTACAGAGCTTCCAACAGACCCCGCCCCTCAGTACACAGGCTGTCTTCACCTCTGGGCCTGCTCAGGCTGTCTTTACACCTGCGCCTGCCCAGGCTGTACCCCAGCAGACCTGCCCATCCCCACCAGCGCCCCCACCACCCCCACCCCTCCCTACAAGACCAACTCAGTGCGTGGCCCCTAGAACCGCCACCAAGGCGCTGACATCAATACCCGCCAGCGCCCTGAGCCTACCCAAGCTGACGGGTAACTTGGAGGAGATGAAAGTTGCAGACCTCAAGGCTGAGCTCAAGAAGCGCAGCCTGCCTGTCTCTGGCCCCAAGCCCCAGCTTATAGAACGTTTAAAACCTTTCACAGAGTCCCCCAGCCCCACCGGCCCCAAGCCCAATGGCTCACGACCCCCCTCACGGGTCTCTACCCCACTGCTCATTGGCCAGACCAGCTTTCATATCAAGACTGAGCCAAACGGAGAGGTGACGGCAGCTCCTATCACCCGACCTGTCACATCAGCTACCTCTGTGCTGGTATCCTCCTCCAGTGCGTACACCTCACCTTCTGCCTTCTCTGTGCCCATCACAATGCCCCTCTCAATGCCCCTGGGTACACTGGGCCTAAAGACAGTTGCCAGTGTAAAGCCTATGGTTAAAGAAGAGCCTATGACAACAACAGAGGTATCCCCCCCCTGCTCGCCACCAAACACCCTGATGTCTGTGCAGGAGCCGCGTACACCAATGAGCCCTGAGAGTGAGGTGAGCTCCCCCACTGTGCTGAGGACAAAAGTTGTCCCAACATTCTCCCCCAGCAAGCAAGCGGGCACCTTGTGTATGGTGCCAGGGCAGACAGTGCTGTCCATGAACACGGACAGGCCAGCCTCAGTGCTGCCAGCTGAGATGATGCCCATGGAAGTGGACTCGGTTTCTGTGGACTTGAACCAGGGCGTTGACGACACAGCTTTTAAAGCAGCTAGCTTGGGCCACAGCCTAGATTCTGGCAGCTTCAAGGCCCTCATTCAGCCCATCACCAATAGCTACAAGACTCTCAGCCAGAACTCTCTAGATAGCTCTAGCCAAATGAAGACAAACTTGTTAGATACAAAGACTATCAAGAGCATCAACCTGAGTCCCCACCTGGATGGCTCAGCTACCATTAAAAGTATCAGCCTGAGCTCTCCCCCTGAACCAATCACCATCAAAACCATCAACCTCGGCTCTGCTGCCGACAGCTCCCAGTTCAAGACAGTCAGCCTGAGCCCCACAGCAGATGGGGCAGCTTTCAAGACAGTCAGCCTTAGTGAGAACTCGCTGCTGAAGGCAGTCAAGATGGCCTCCCCCACCCAGATGTCCCCAGTCCAGCTGACAGCACCTGTGACCCACACAGTAAGTCACCACTTCCTGTTACTGCCCCAATGACCTCAGTTGACTGGGATTGGTTGGTAGAACAGTGTCTAGTCAACTGATGGTTAGCTGACCTACTTCTAATGTATCTGACCTCGCTGACCTACTTTTAAAGTTCCTTGACCTAGTCTACCTACTGCTCATGTACCTGGCCTAATTAGCCTTAAATTTATTGTGCCTGATATGTTTGACTTGGTTAAAATTGACCTGACCTAGTTGTCCTACTGCTTGTGTATAAGATCACCTCAGTAAGTAAACTGAGGCGCCTTATTTAGTTAGTAGATGTGTCTGTCACACATATCCTTGAGGTTTTACCCTGTCTTGATGGTACCCATCAGTTTTTCTCAGATACAAGTTCTATTTAAAAAAAAATCTCTAATAATATCCCCTTATATCCTTAGTATTCATAATTGTTTGATGCCAACATTCATGATTGTTTGATGCCAACATTCATGATTGTTTTATGCCAACATTCATGATTGTTTGATGCCAACATTCATGATTGTTTGTTGCCAACATTCATGATTGTTTTATGCCAACATTCATGATTGTTTTATGCCAACATTCATGATTGTTTTATGCCAACATTCATGATTGTTTGATGCCAACATTCATCATTGTTTGTTGCCAACATTCATGATTGTTTGATGCCTACAATCATGATTGATACCAACAATCATGATTGTTTGATGCCAACAATCATGATTGTTTGATGCCAACAGCTGTAGGTCTGGCCCGTTTGCCAGGTTGTAGCCCCATGTCAGCCATGTCAGCCATGTCACCCATGTCACCTATGTCGTCCATGTATCCCACAGCTGACTAGCCCAGCCTCCCTGCTCCAGCTCCAACAGCTCCAGCAGCTGCAGACCCTGCAACAGCTGCAGCAGCAGCTTCTCCAGCAGACGCAGGCCCAGCAGTTCCAGTCCAGTGCCGTCCCCTTGACCAGCAACGAGCATGTGGTCCTGGCCCAGGCCAAACAGATAGAAGAGCTACAGCGTCAGCTGCAAGAATCACACCTCAAGCTCAAGCTGCAGCAGCTGCAGCAGATGCAGCTGCAACAGCAGCAGCTTCAACAACAGCAGCAACAGCAGCTTCAACAACAGCAACAACAGATGTGGCAAGTTAGGATACCTTCCAATTTTAACCAGGTAAGGAACATTGTGTAGCCATTTCCACAGCCAATGAACAGCCTGCTGTAACTGAAGATTCCTTTACTCCCTTAATCTACATAAAGAAGAAACAAGTTAAAAAATAAACAAACACCATACACTACTAAGATAGAGAGGAATGGGTTTTTTTTTTAGATTTTTGAAAACATTTTGGACCTCACGCTTTGGAAATTTGAAACCTCTCTAATAAATAAATAAACTTTTATAATTAATTATATAGATTTAAATTAGAATCAAATCCTGTTTACAAAAGACAGCTATAGGGTTTAGGGGTCATCAATAAACACACCCTTACACACCCCGAAAATGTTGCTTATATCCATTCATTTTTTACTAAAATGACTGAATTTACCCCCCACAAAACTCACTGATGACCAAACTTTACCCCCCCCCCACAAAACTCACTGATGACCCAACTTTACCCCCCCCCCCCCCACAAAACTCACTGATGACCCAACTTTACCCCCCCCCCCCCCCCACAGAACTCACTGATAACCAAAATTTTACCCCCCCCCCCACAGAACACACTGATAACCAAACTTTACCCCCCACAGAACTCACTGATGACCAAAATTTTACCCCCCCCCCCACCCACAGAACTCACTGATGACCAAACTTTACCCCCCACAGAACTCACTGATGACCAAACTTTACCCCCCCCCCCCCCCCCCCCCCCCCCCCCACAGAACTCACTGATGACCAAACTTTACCCCCCACAGAACTCACTGATGACCAAACTTTCACAAGAGCAGGTGAGCCAGCAGTTGAGCCAACAGGTGAGCCAGCAGTTGAGCCAGGTGATGAGCTCACCTGTACAGCTTCAGCAGCAGCCGGCATCAATTTTCTTGAATGGTCACAGCATTCAGCCAGCCCCACTTGTTGTCTCAGGTTAGCATTGCTTTCATTTCACATTTTTGGTGTTTAGCTTCACTTGTTGTCTCAGGTTAGCATTGCTTTCATTTCACATTTTTGGTGTTTAGCTTCACTTGTTGTCTCAGGTTAGCATTGCTTTCATTTCACATTTTTGGTGTTTAGCTTCACTTGTTGTCTCAGGTTAGCATTGCTTTCATTTCACATTGTTGGTGTTTAGCTTCACTTGTTGTCTCAGGTTAGCATTGCTTTCATTTCACATTTTTGGTGTTTAGCTTCACTTGTTGTCTCAGGTTAGCATTGCTTTCATTTCACATTTTTGGTGTTTAGCTTCACTTGTTGTCTCAGGTTAGCATTGCTTTCATTTCACATTTTTGGTGTTTAGCTTCACTTGTTGTCTCAGGTTAGCATTGCTTTCATTTCACATTTTTGGTGTTTAGCTTCACTTGTTGTCTCAGGTTAGCATTGCTTTCATTTCACATTTTTGGTGTTTAGCTTCACTTGTTGTCTCAAGTTAGCATTGCTTTCATTTCACATTTTTGGTGTTTAGCTTCACTTGTTGTCTCAGGTTAGCATTGCTTTCATTTCACATTTTTGGTGTTTAGCCCCACTTGTTGTCTCAGGTTAGCATTGCTTTCATTTCACATTTTTGGTGTTTAGCTTCACTTGTTGTCTCAGGTTAGCATTGCTTTCATTTCACATTTTTGGTGTTTAGCTTCACTTGTTGTCTCAGGTTAGCATTGCTTTCATTTCACATTTTTGGTGTTTAGCCCCACTTGTTGTCTCAGGTTAGCATTGCTTTCATTTCACATTTTTGGTGTTTAGCTTCACTTGTTGTCTCAGGTTAGCATTGCTTTCATTTCACATTTTTGGTGTTTAGCTTCACTTGTTGTCTCAGGTTAGCATTGCTTTCATTTCACATTTTTGGTGTTTAGCTTCACTTGTTGTCTCAGGTTAGCATTGCTTTCATTTCACATTTTTGGTGTTTAGCTTCACTTGTTGTCTCAGGTTAGCATTGCTTTCATTTCACATTTTTGGTGTTTAGCTTCATTTTCACTTTCCTGTTTAAGATTTTTTTAGTTCATTATGTTTGTTTGGTTGGTTGTTCGTTTTTTAGTTAGTTAGTTGCAGCAATTCTTGTAACTCAAATTTAACCCACTTCTAATGCAACAATTTCATTCACACATAAACACTCCAGATATTTTTTATCTCTGAAGACAATGCAAGAATATTTAATTTTTTTTTATCTAACTACAAATTAGATTAGTTATTAAAATTTAACTTCTAAATTTAGTAAGAAAAAGGAAAGATAAAAACAGATTTAGTACTAGTCAATGACACACTCCATCTGTTTAGAATGGTTTGCCACGGGCGGCTGGTTTCAATGACACATTCTGTCTGTTTAGAATGGTTTGCCACGGGCGGCTGGTTTCAAGTGGTAGATGACACTGTCTTCTGGGACCATTACTAAAAATCTTTAAAATGCTCTGAAAAGAAAAAAAAACTAAAACTTTACCTGTGAGCTTCCACTGATCTTGTATGTTTTTACCTGTGAGCTTCCACTGATCTTGTATGTTTTTACCTGTGAGCTTCCACTGATCTTGTATGTTTTTACCTGTGAGCTTCCACTGATCTTGTATGTTTTTACCTGTGAGCTTCCACTGATCTTGTATGTTTTTACCTGTGAGCTTTCACTGATCTTGTATGTTTTTACCTGTGAGCTTCCACTGATCTTGTATGTTTTTACCTGTGAGCTTCCACTGATCTTGTATGTTTTTACCTGTGAGCTTCCACTGATCTTGTATGTTTTTACCTGTGAGCTTCCACTGATCTTGTATGTTTTTACCTGTGAGCTTCCACTGATCTTGTATGTTTTTACCTGTGAGCTTCCACTGATCTTGTATGTTTTTACCTGTGAGCTTCCACTGATCTTGTATGTTTTTACCTGTGAGCTTCCACTGATCTTGTATGTTTTTACCTGTGAGCTTCCACTGATCTTGTATGTTTTTACCTGTGAGCTTCCACTGATCTTGTATGTTTTTACCTGTGAGCTTCCACTGATCTTGTATGTTTTTACCTGTGAGCTTCCACTGATCTTGTATGTTTTTAGCTGTGAGCTTCCACTGATCTTGTATGTTTTTAGCTGTGAGCTTCCACTGATCTTGTATGTTTTTACCTGTGAGCTTCCACTGATCTTGTATGTTTTTACCTGTGTCCAGGTGTGCAGCAGAGCGTGCAGCCAGCACAGGTGATGGTGTCCAGCCCTGCAGGCTTGAGCATGACTGCCAACACTGGCCAGCCTGCAGTCTCCCTGCCCTACGCCATCCACATCAACTTGACCAGCTCCGGCCAGGTCAAGCTGCCACCTCAGCTACAGCCCATAACAACATCCACAGCTTCAGCAGCCACGGCCACCAAAACATCGGCCGTCCCATCCGTCCAGATCCCAGCTCAACTTCTTCTCAACACTGCACCCCAGCATGTTGCCAACACAGCTCAAACTATCAAAACAGAGCCAGACACAGCACATACAATGGGTAAGTGGACAGTCTAGTTATACAATGGGTAAGTGGACAGTCTAGTTATATAATGGGTAAGTGGACAGTCTAGTTATACAATGGGTAAGTGGACAGTCTAGTTATACAATGGGTAAGTGGACAGTCTAGTTATATAATGGGTAAGTGGACAGTCTAGTTATACAATGGGTAAGTGGACAGTCTAGTTATACAATGGGTAAGTGGACAGTCTAGTTATATAATGGGTAAGTGGACAGTCTAGTTATATAATGGGTAAGTGGACAGTCTAGTTATACAATGGGTAAGTGGACAGTCTAGTTATACAATGGGTAAGTGGACAGTCTAGTTATATAATGGGTAAGTGGACAGTCTAGTTATACAATGGGTAAGTGGACAGTCTAGTTATACAATGGGTAAGTGGACAGTCTAGTTATATAATGGGTAAGTGGACAGTCTAGTTATACAATGGGTAAGTGGACAGTCTAGTTATACAATGGGTAAGTGGACAGTCTAGTTATATAATGGGTAAGTGGACAGTCTAGTTATACAATGGGTAAGTGGACAGTCTAGTTATACAATGGGTAAGTGGACAGTCTAGTTATATAATGGGTAAGTGGACAGTCTAGTTATACAATGGGTAAGTGGACAGTCTAGTTATACAATGGGTAAGTGGACAGTCTAGTTATATAATGGGTAAGTGGACAGTCTAGTTATACAATGGGTAAGTGGACAGTCTAGTTATACAATGGGTAAGTGGACAGTCTAGTTATACAATGGGTAAGTGGACAGTCTAGTTATATTGTGGGTAAGTGGACAGCCTAGTTATACAATGGGTAAGTGGACAGTCTAGTTATACAATGGGTAAATGGACAGTCTAGTTATACTGTGGGTAAATGGACAGCCTAGTTATACATGTAAATGGACAGTCTAGTTATATTTTGGGTAAATGGACAGCCTAGTTATACAATGGGTAAGTGGACAGTCTAGTTATACTGTGGGTAAATGGACAGTCTAGTTATATTTTGGGTAAATGGACAGCCTAGTTATACAATGGGTAAGTGGAAAGTCTAGTTATACTGTGGGTAAATGGACAGCCTAGTTATACATGTAAATGGACAGTCTAGTTATATTTTGGGTAAATGGACAGCCTAGTTATACAATGGGTAAGTGGACAGTCTAGTTATACTGTGGGTAAATGGACAGCCTAGTTATACATGTAAATGGACAGTCTAGTTATATTTTGGGTAAATGGACAGCCTAGTTATACAGTGTATAACTTGACATTATCTCAGTTAGACAACAGTACTTGTGCTAATAAGTTCACTAACTTTTTTAGGTCCTCCAACATCAACTTGTGTTCCAAAATCCCATGTGCCCAGCAGTAGCCAACCATATGTCTTCACAGCTTCCTCGGCCTCTGTCATATCAGCCCAAAGCAATGGGATCATAGCCAGGTACTTGTCATAGCCAGGTACTTGTCATAGCCAGGTACTTGTCATAGCCCATAGCCAGGTACTTGTCATAGCCAGGTACTTGTCATAGCCAGGTACTTGTCATAGCCCATAGCTAGGTACTTGTCATAGCAAGGTACTTCTCATAGCCCATAGCCAGGTAATTGTCATAGCCCATAGCCAGGTACTTGTCATAGCCCATAGCCAGGTACTTGTCATAGCCCATAGCCAGGTACTTGTCATAGCCAGGTACTTGTCATAGCCAGGTACTTGTCATAGGCCATAGCCAGGTACTTGTCATAGCCAGGTACTTGTCATAGCCCATAGCCAGGTACTTGTCATAGCCCATAGCCAGGTACTTGTCATAGCCAGGTACTTGTCATAGCCCATAGCCAGGTACTTGTCATTACCCATAGCTAGGTACTTGTCATAGCCCATAGCCAGGTACTTGTCATAGCCCATAGCCAGGTACTTGTCATAGCCCATAGCCAGGTACTTGTCATAGCCAGGTACTTGTCATAGATAGCCAGGTACTTGTCATAGCCAGGTACTTGTCATAGCCAGGTACTTGTCATAGCCCATAGCCAGGTACTTGTCATAGCCCATAGCCAGGTACTTGTCATAGCCAGGTACTTGTCATAGCCAGGTACTTGTCATAGCCAGGTACTTGTCATAGCCAGGTACTTGTCATAGCCAGGTACTTGTCATAGCCAGGTACTTGTCATAGATAGCCAGGTACTTGTCATAGCCAGGTACTTGTCATAGCCAGGTACTTGTCATAGCCCATAGCCAGGTACTTGTCATAGCCCATAGCCAGGTACTTGTCATAGCCAGGTACTTGTCATAGCCCATAGCCAGGTACTTGTCATTACCCATAGCTAGGTACTTGTCATAGCCCATAGCCAGGTACTTGTCATAGCTGACTTCTAAACCCCAACTTTTCCAGAACCAACTCGCTACCCTCGGCACCACTTGTCAGTGACCAACATGAGACCATCCAGAGGTGTACGTCCAGCCCATATTTCAATGGACCCATGAAAGAGCCACCGCGTTATGATGAGGCCATCAAAATTAAGCAGCAGCAAACGGTTTGTTCAAGTCATTAGAATTTTGTTTTTCTTGCTGGTTTGTTCTGGTAGTTAGACTCAACTGGTTTGTTCTGGTAGTTAGACTCAACTGGTTTGTTCTGGTAGTTAGACTCAACTGGTTTGTTCTGGTAGTTAGACTCAACTGGTTTGTTCTGGTAGTTAGACTCAACTGGTTTGTTCCGGTAGTTAGACTCAACTGGTTTGTTCCGGTAGTTAGACTCAACTGGTTTGTTCTGGTAGTTAGACTCAACTGGTTTGTTCTGGTAGTTAGACTCAACTGGTTTGTTCTGGTAGTTAGACTCAACTGGTTTGTTCTGGTAGTTAGACTAAGTCATGTTTCTGTCACATGACCAATGTATTTTGTCTATTGTCAGGTGCCACCCCTGATAAACAATAAGAAGGAAGTGACTACAGATAGTCCAGTTAGTACCAACAACAACAACACCATCAACAACAACACCATCAACAAAACCCTGACTTTGGGTCAGATTGGCCCTGATGTTAAGTCTCAAACCATGGATGATGTCTTGGAGATTCTAATCAGAAATGGAGGTCAGTAGTCATGCTTCTGGCAGTAACTGGGGGTCTACATGCACTTTTCCCCTCTCTAATACAAAAGTTATTGATTGACATTTCAGATTTACCAGGGGGTCTACATGCACTTTTTTCCTCTCTAATACACAAGTTATTGATTGACCTTTCAGATTTGCCACCAAGTGCAGCCACAGAACCCCTGCCCACACCAAAAATGAGCCAAGCTGGGCCAGAAACCAGCAGTGTTCCCATGACAACAGCAGCTGGCGTGACTTCAAACAGCTACTCTGGTCAGCAGCACCTCAGCCCAAGGGACCAAACCTTGACCTCTGTCCACACCTTTTCTGACTCTTTCCTGAGCGCCCCACATTGCGCAGCCCCCCAGGAGCTGACGGCTCCCTTGGGTGACCCCCAGGCTGATGCAGGGGAGCTGCTGGACTGGGGAGAAATGCTGCCCTCACCAGACCTCTCCACCATGGACTGGTCAACTGAGACAGGTTTTAATCAGCTGGACATGGGAGAACCCAGCCTCAACCTGGAGGTCAAGGTCACAGAATCCCAGCTGACCAGCCATGACGGGTACAATGAGCTGCTGGACCAAGGCAATGCAAGTGGGCCCTACGGGGCCAGTCTACACACTCCCAGCAGGCATGGCTCCGAGCCAGACCTGGCCGCGCTGGGCTTGGGGGGTGAGTCCAGTGACATTGTGGACCCCTCAACACAAATGGATATGTCAGACTGGCTAGATGTCATGATGCCAAATGTCAACATGATGCCAAATGTCAACATGTCCATCAACCATCACATGAACCTGTCCAGCAGTTTTTCAGCTGATCCCATCCTGACTCCCAGAACACAGCAGGAAGTTTTTGACATCTTCAACTTTGATGACCCGGAGTACGGCCCTTCTGTCATGAGCTGGGACAAGCCAGCCGAGCAGAGTACGAGCAGCTGAACACTGGCACGCTGTCTTATGGGACAGTTAACTAGCTGAACACTGTCACGCTGTCTTATGGGACAGTTAACTAGCTGAACACTGTCACATGGGACAGTTAACTAGCTGAACACTGTCACGCTGTCTTATGGGACAGTTAACTAGCTGAACACTGGCACGCTGTCTTATGGGACAGTTAACTAGCTGAACACTGTCACGCTGTCTTATGGGACAGTTAACTAGCTGAACACTGTCACGCTGTCTTATGGGACAGTTAACTAGCTGAACACTGTCACGCTGTCTTATGGGACAGTTAACTAGCTGAACACTGTCACGCTGTCTTATGGGACAGTTAACTAGCTGAACACTGTCACGCTGTCTTATGGGACAGTTAACTAGCTGAACACTGTCACGCTGTCTTATGGGACAGTTAACTAGCTGAACACTGTCACGCTGTCTTATGGGACAGTTATTTAGCTGAACACTGTCACGCTGTCTTATGGGACAGTTAACTAGCTGAACACTGTCACGCTGTCTTATGGGACAGTTAACTAGCTGAACACTGGCACGCTGTCTTATGGGACAGTTAACTAGCTGAACTAGCTATATCCAGGGTTGAAAAGGTCCTGGCTGTATTGAGGGTTAATATCTGCCCTACAAATCTATTACTCCCCTGCACATTGTCAGTCCTTTAGAACTTGCAAGAGAACACAAGAGCACCATATTGCTAATGGACTCCCACAATTGTTAACTAAATGTTAGTTAAAAAAGATATTGCAAGTAGTTTTAGGCCACACACAATCATCTAAACAATTTCACTTCCCCCAGATGAATTCATATCACCTTTTGTTTTATAGCAATCATTTTTGTCTGTGTGTCTTGTGATGGCTACTGCTGCTGACCAAGTACACAACTGCATTTTGTATGCAGCCATTTGTTTTCTGTAAGTGTAACATAGATGTATGTACTATACTATGTTGGTGCTTCATATTGTATCCACATTGAGCTGTAAGATTAGAATATTCGCATGATTGGGTACTGGTGGATGAAAATAGACTCTTCCAAAAATCGGTGTGTTAGGTTGCTATTACTAGTAGTATAGTAATCTTGTCTAATTTTATTAATAGAAATTTCAAATTAGGGTTTACTAGGACTAGAGTGGCGTTAACATTGGAATCAGCAGGTCATATAAGTGTATTTATGTTTACTAGGACTAGAGTGGGGTTAACATTGGAATCAGCAGGTCATATAAGTGTATTTATGTTTACTAGGACTAGAGTGGGGTTAACATTGGAATCAGCAGGTCATATAAGTGTATTTATCTAATTGTCAGTTACCTTACACCCCTTTTTTTAAGAAGATTCTATTATTAACAGACACTGGGATATGGGATAAAAATTTCCACCCGATTTCGTTTACTCACCAACTGTTTGTATGTCCCTTCAATATGTTTTGTATGCGAGTTTTTGTACAAATATGGCTACATTATTTTATAATGTGCTTTTGAATTTTTGTCCACAAATGTTGCATAATGTTTAACTATCTTGAGACCTAGCTCTACCCTCTCATCTTAGGGAGATGTGCTAGCTCTACCATCTTAGGGAGATGTGCTAGCTCTATCATCTTAGAGAGATGTGCTAGCTCTATCATCTTAGGGAGATGTGCTAGCTCTACCATCTTAGGGAGATGTGCTAGCTCTACCATCTTAGGGAGATGTGCTAGCTCTACCCAATGATCTTAGGGAGATGTGCTAGCTCTATCATCTTAGGGAGATGTGCTAGCTCTACCATCTTAGGGAGATGTGCTAGCTCTATCATCTTAGGGAGATGTGCTAGCTCTACCATCTTAGGGAGATGTGCTAGCACTACCCAATGATCTTAGGGAGATGTGCTAGCTCTATCATCTTAGGGAGATGTGCTAGCTCTACCATCTTAGGGAGATGTGCTAGCTCTACCATCTTAGGGAGATGTGCTAGCTCTACCATCTTAGGGAGATGTGCTAGCTCTACCATCTTAGGGAGATGTGCTAGCACTACCATCTTAGGGAGATGTGCTAGCTCTATCATCTTAGGGAGATGTGCTAGCTCTATCATCTTAGGGAGATGTGCTAGCTCTACCCAATGATCTTAGGGAGATGTGCTAGCTCTACCATCTTAGGGAGATGTGCTAGCTCTACCATCTTAGGGAGATGTGCTAGCACTACCATCTTAGGGAGATGTGCTAGCTCTACCATCTTAGGGAGATGTGCTAGCTCTATCATCTTAGGGAGATGTGCTAGCTCTATCATCTTAGGGAGATGTGCTAGCTCTATCATCTTAGGGACATGTGCTAGCTCTATCATCTTAGGGAGATGTGCTAGCTCTACCATCTTAGGGAGATGTGCTAGCTCTATCATCTTAGGGAGATGTGCTAGCTCTATCATCTTAGGGAGATGTGCTAGCTCTATCATCTTAGGGAGATGTGCTAGCTCTACCCAATGATCTTAGGGAGATGTGCTAGCTCTACCATCTTAGGGAGATGTGCTAGCTCTACCCAATGATCTTAGGGAGATGTGCTAGCTCTACCTAATGATCTTAGGGAGATGTGCTAGCTCTACCCAATGATCTTAGGGAGATGTGCTAGCTCTACCATCTTAGGGAGATGTGCTAGTTTTCCCCAATCATTTTGTCTGTGATCTCCTTTTGGACCAAGTGCCTAACTTTCTGTGTTATAACTTTCTACTTAATTAAAAGATTTTATTTTCACCATGACATGTTTGAATTGAAGCAATACAAGAGCTTGTAGCTGTATGTATGGCAACACTTGGCTTGCTGATAGTGATGTTTTCACCTCCAGTATTGCAACTGTTCAACTTTCAGACATTTAACATATATGATAGTTTGAGCTGAATGATTGATATTAACTCTACTTTGTTCCTGCTTACTTCCCTTGATAATATTTGTTTACCACATGTGAAATATTTGAAGAGTTGTCCCTAGTGTTGGGAGTGTCTTTAGTCAGTAATGAGGGTGTGGCTTGAGATGATTGACAGGTGTGAGAGACTAGTGAAGATGCCATCAGACTTGTGTTGTTGCCTCAAGTTGTTACAGGACTGTTGTTTGACCAAAACTGACCAAAGATTGAAAGTTTTTTATGCTTGATAAAGAAAACAAATGGCTGTAAATTGTCTATAATTTTAGGCAATCAAAATATAAGGCTTCAATTTAGCTAGTAACTGAACAATTAATTTGTTTTCAAATATTTTGGTTTTTTTACTTCTCATACTGAATTTGCCATTTGTAACATCATTATTGGTCCAGATGTTTGAAATTTTGTTTTAGAGGTCCACTTACATGAGCGATGTAAGAATGTAAACTGTGGTTTACCTAGATGAGCAATGGAAGAATGTGCTGTGGTTTACCTAGTTGAGCAATGTAAGAATGACGGTGGCACAGTTGAAATGAGTTGTATGAATAGAGGACATTGTTCTTAGTCCGTGTTATGTTGTGACAGCATTATATGAGCTGAGTTAAAAATGTATTTATTATAGTGACATTTTCTATGTCAATTATGTTGTGTTGTAGTACTAAGTTGCATGGAGAGATTGTTTAAATCTTCAAGTTTCTTGACGTATTTCTAGATTTTCTTCTGTAAGCAAAGTATACTAAAGATATCTTTGAGATAACATTAATTTATTTCATTTTTTAAAAAATGGATACATATATACATCTATATTTCTATTGAAAAAGTATTTTGCTATTTTGTGTGAGATGTGTGCTTCTGCTTGACTTATTTATTGAACACATTGTAAATACTAGTAAAGATGGCTGGGTTTGGTTAAGGTCAGCTCTAAGCAAGGAGGCTGCACTCTGTCTGACAGCAATCTCTGCTTGTATGCACCTCTCAACATATTGGTGGCAACAAGCTAAGAGCAAGTCCTCATTGAACCCAGCCTGGAAGCTGTCTGTACATAGTTTTCTAGACTATTAATCCAAGTTTCCACATTGATTGCATGGGCTTGCCGTGCCTTTTTGGGTCCACTAATCTGAGAGTTTGTTATCTGCGTCATGTTGGTCCCACCTTATCACCTGACTAACCTCAGCACCAGTCTCAAGCTATTTTCTTAACAATGCATTCCAGTATCATCTGCTTAAACATCTACTTTTCTAAATTTATATCCAAATTGGTAGCAATGAAAGTACACAAACTTGTGGTTAAAGTGTGTAGGGGACAAACTAAAACTAGCTGTTGTGATGTTATTCTGCCCCTGTGTTGTTACTGGCAGGTTAGGTCTAAAATACTTGAAGATTGTGGGGACCATTTGTCTACATCAACTTACTGTAGCCAAAATAGACAATCAGGGAGAGTAAATCAAACGATGAAAATGTAAAAAAAAAAACAGGATGTATAATTCTTTCTTTGTCATCTCCTCCAGTACATTTTAAAGAATAATTTATACTACAATTTACTAAATCAGCTTCTATAGTAAGTAGACTTTTATACTGCGACTAACTTAATAAGCTTGAAAAGTAAGTAGATCTAATATTTTATCCAGGTGCGAACCTAAATAAAATAAATGATTAAATGTAAAAACCTTTATACCTGTAGCAGGCTTTTAAGTGCACTAAATATAAAACGATTTCTTTCTTTAGTAAAATTTAAAAGCTTGCTTTACATTTGTTTTTCTTCTGTGTATTAGTAATTAGCTTGTTTTAAAGATTAAAATAGTTACGTAAATCGATATTCAAGTTTTAAAAACAATAAGAACCATATGCCATATTAAGTTAATCCATTTCACATAACTAACAATATTAGCTTTAAAACCTGATTCTTAGCTTGTGATCTTAAATGATCTACCCCTTATTAACATCTACTGTAGGCTATAGTATAATGAGGTGTGACAACAACTTTTTCCTGCCATCCTGCTGATCCTTACTAGATTTTAGATCTTTGTCATCTCCCCTTTTGTTGGTGAATAAAATAATCTGTACCACACGTTCATTTATGATGACTACTTTAGTATCTGAATAGACTAAAATTGATGTTGGAAGGAATGTAGCAGGAAATATATACTGCATTAGAAGTTTTGACAGCTAACCTAGACGGACATTAGGACTTAAGTAAA